TTTTTTTTTACTTGTATAGTTGCACTGTAACACAGTGCCATCTAGAGGTTATATAGCAGGAAAGAAATGCTCTTCATGCGGTGCTTAGATCACAATTCTATGATGAAACCAAGTGTATATACAGCAGGTGTTTACAAACAGTGCTGTTCACAACCCAAAGGGAAACTGGTGGGGAGGTGGTTACAGTATCTGAAGGACTCATCAACAGGCATGAGCAGAGAATTTCAAGTACACAAAAGCCTAATTTGAAAAGCTCTAGGTGTTTTGGGAGCAGGATGTCTACAGAACAGTCCCATGTCTCCCTCCTTCTTTGTGGAAAAAAAGGCTTCTTTCCTGTGAGGAAACTTTCTAGGTATGTCTCCTTGCTCCAGATATTGTTCTGCTTGAATGATGACCTGCAGGAGCCAGACAATCCTGTGCCTGAGGGGTCCGATTTAGCAGCACAACTTCACAGCCACATGGGACAAACATGGAAGGCATCACACAAATGTGTCAAGCAGCCATGAGGCACTAATTTTTTAAAGACACAAATTTATGCCAAAATCCCCATAACATGCTATATCTACATTTAAATCACAGCCCAGAAAAATACCTTACATAATGCAATGTGTAGTCCAATATTTGGAGGTTTACAACCCTTATCAGTTGCGGACAGCTAGCCAAGGATGAGGGCTGGTGGGAATTGCTGCATTAAGAAAATTTGGATGACCACAAGTTGCCCAGTTTGATAAGGACCTGATTTCTTCACAGAAATTCCACTGGGTTCAGGGATTACTCATCAGTATAGATGCAGGTGTAACTCCCTCAACTCTCAACCACCCTCTTAGGAAATTTTCAAGATGTTGCTTAGTATTATGTCCTTGCTATTTGAATTCTACTTGCAAATTGGCAATTACAGCTGGTTCCACAAGGAATATGGCAGCATAACCATCATATATGCATTAAGAGCTAAAAAGGGAACATTAATGTAAGATAGATATTTGTCTATCAGGCCTTATAAACTTGCAAACCCATGTTGGAATGCAACACAATACCTTAATAAATAGCAAAAGTGATTGACAGCACCATATGAACTTGATGTTTCTTCAAAGACTGGAGTCAGTATATAAACCCATTGCTCACTGTGAATGGTCACTTGTCACTAGATTAATGCAGTTCAATTATCAGAATCATAAATATCATAAATATTCCCTCCAGCATATTTTTCATTGTTATGTTTCAGTGTCTTCCAATGACCACAAATTGCTGTGTGTGCAAATCAGGAACTAAGAGTTAAATAAGATGCTCTATCTGCTTAGAAGCATGCACAAGACCTTCCTAGATAAGCATGTTATTTAAAAACTGCCCTTTAGCATGAAGGCTGTTGGAGCAATCCTATGGTGGATAATTATTCCTCAGCACTAGACAAACCCTTTACTTCCACCGTCACCATTAAGTTATTGAATTAGAAACATAGAAACAGAGCGAGTCAGAAGGGGCCTCCCGGGCCATCTAGTCTGACCTCCGGCACCAGCCGGCTCCGCTCACGACATGCCCACCATGTGCACGTCTAGCCTATCCTTGAACACCTGCACCGATGGGGCCTCAACGACCTCTCGTGGAAGCCCATTCCACACCCTCAGGGTCCTGACTGTCAGGAAATGCTTCCTGGCATCCAAATGGAACCTTGGCTCCCTGACCTTTGCTCCGTTGGAGCACGTCCTGCCTTCCTCTGCAGGGGGAACAGGTCTCTACCCATCTCCATGTGACATCCCCTCACATACCTGTATGTCACCAACATATCTCCTCTGAGTCTCCTCTTCTCCAGGCTGAAGAGGTCCAGTTCCCTCAGTCTCACCTCATACCCCATCCCCTGCAAACTGGCCACCAACCTTGTGGGCCTACACTGCACTGACTCCAACCTGGCTATATCCTTTCTGTAATGAGGGGCCCAAAACTGAACACAATACTCCAGTTGCGGGCGCACTAAGAGTCGTGTAGAGTGGTAGTAATACCTCTCTTGATCTAGAAGCCACACTTCTGGCTATGCAACCAAGGGTGGTGTTCGCCCTCTTGATCACCGCATCACACTGCTGACTCATGTTTAGCCTGCAGTCAACCAGTACCCCGAGGTCCCTTTCATAAGTGCTGCTCTTCAGCCACTTGTCACCTAACCTGTACTTATGACACCTATTCCTATGCCCCAAGTGCAAGACCTTGCACTTATCCACATTGAACGCCATCCTGTTGCCTCCTGCCCACTTCCATAGTCTGTCCAGATCCTTTTGGATCTGGAGTACCTGCTCCTCAGTTGTGGCCACTGCCCCAGTTTTAGTGTCATCTGCGAATTTGATCAGCAAACTGTTCACCCCTTCTTCCATGTCGTTAATGAAAAGATTGAACAGGATCGGCCCCAGGACAGAGCCCTGGGGGACCCCACTTGTTACTGGCCGCCATCCCGCGCTAATGGTTACCTTCTGTTTTCGGTCAGTCAACCATGTCCTAATCCACCGGACTTCCAAGCACCAACACTCAGGCTTCAGCTCTTTCCTCTCAAGGCTGCTCCATGGGTCTTCCTCTCCCAACCTGCAGACCTTCGGCTTCTGCCACATCTGCTCTCAGCTGGGCATCTTACAGCTACTCTTCTTCCTGGCAGTCATCCTCTTTAGGCACCCAAGCACTCACAAAGACTGCTCCGGAAGAACTCTGCAGTCAGACTTCTTGTGACAAACTCGTGACAGTTCCTTATATTCGCTGCAGTCAGAACCCTCCAGCCAATCAGCTTCAGGGCTACCAACATTATCTTGCCCTATTTAAACGTAGGACCAATGGGCATCCTTAGAATTTCTTCATTCTCCAGTCAGATAGTACCTATTTTAATCCTCCCTTCCCTTACATAAAGAGAAACCAGGTTTCATTTTCACCTGTGACTGCACGTAAGAGTGACTGCACGTTTACTAGCATACCATATGTGGCTAGACTTGGGGCAGTCAGCGAAATGGGGTGGGCCTTCAGAGGAATCCTGCAGGGCCAGAGTGGGATCCCAGGGCTGCACCAGAGTCTAAAATGTGGCAATGCACAATCATAGCCACTTCTTTTTCAATGAAATGCTGCTATTGCAGCATGTCCAACAGGCACCTCTTCAGATCAGCTGGTCTATTCTATAGTTTGGTTGCCAAAGCTTGATTCTCTGACGAAGCTCTCTTTTCAGGGTGTCTTTTAGCTGAGGCATGTTATACCATGGGCTATAGAACTCCAGAAAATGTGCTTGCGCAAACAGCTAATATAGTTTATTCAGTCATCAGTCTCCACCCTCCAATAAATGAAGGGCAACCTCCAGCCTGGAGTAACGTTCCTCTCAGACTTGCTGAAAGGCTTTCCTGTGAGCCCTGATGTGTGCAGAGCTGTCAGGACTTCCAGAGCAATGCAACTCCCCCTGGTAGACTGATGGAGAAGGCAACTCAGTCCACCTTGCAAGTACTTGTGGAACTGACGTTGGAGCTGTAGGTGCTTGAAGAATTCCCAGTGCAGTCATGCAGACCAGCTGGGAGACACAGGGGCACCATAAAAGGCTTCTAAGCCGTGTCCATCATTGTCATGACAGCACAACTCTTTGTGGTGACTGCTTTTGGGATTTGCCTTCAGCCAGGCAATGTGTCCTGAATCTTTCCTCTTCCTGACTCTGCCTTTGCCTCTGATCTTGCTAAGTTCTCTAGCCATCTCCTTCAGCCCTGGTCCTCATGTTCAAGTAGATGCCTGCCCCTTGTTCCAGTCTTGTTAGATCTGCTTTTCCTTGTAAGTACAGTCATATTAATGACTGTTACAGTATGGTAGTGTCCCCGTCTGGCAACCAGATCCAAATCTAAGCACAGGAAAGCAATGCTTCAGCAGGACTAAAGTGCACGTGGGGTGACTTAGCAACATGACTTTAACATTATGACACCATCTACCAAAATTCTGCAACTAACATTGTGAACGCTATTGCACAGAAAATTAGATTCCTGACTTATGAAGAGGATTTTACTGTGCAAATGCCTTACCTCATTCACAGAGATGTGTCTTTTTCTTTGACCATTGACAGTGTAGTCTCTCACTTGTAACCCTCTCAAGTTGCCCCACTGCTGCTTCCATGTTTTCCTTTCCAGGCACATGCACACCCCAACATTATTCAGGAGGAAATAATGAATGGAAGGCTTTTGATGGTTAGTGCTGGGAGATGCCATTTGGGAATGTGTCCAGGGCATGAAGGTGACCCATTTGTGAAGCAGTCAGACCACAGAGTGTTGGCGTCTGTTCAGCAGGTAGCAAAACTCATGCAAATCTTGATGCTTTCTCCCTGCCACAACAGTGAAGTGTTTTGTACACTCCTGGTTTACTTCTAAACTTTTTCTCCTTTCTGGGATTGCCAGACTTGAGCAGCACCTACCTGTGTGGCTGATTTTTTAAAATTGTAACTACAACAGAAACAATCAGGAAAGGAGGGAAACAGCAACGAAGAAGAAAGAACATGGCATAAAAGCATATTCAAAGTAATGGTTCACAACTCCATTAAGAAAATGATAAAAAGATTCAATACTTCTATTTTAAATATCAGCATCCTAATAAGCGGTCTGTATTGCAGCTGATAAACATGTGACATCTCTGCAGACATAGCTGTGTGTATCCTGCTGCTGTTCAGAGGAATCTGTGGATTGGGGTAGAGGGCTTTTCTACACAAGGCCTTTATTGTGTGCATGTTATTCCCCAGTTGTTTAGATGATGCATCCCTCCAATTTTGCTTCAGTGTCTAACAAGACATTTAATTGTCAAAGAAAGCACATGTTCCCTTTGTGTATGTGTGCTAATCTGGTACACTATGGTGCCACCTAGAGGTTTTGTATCAGAAATCAGAAAAGGATTTTTTTTATATTGGGCTTGAATCTTAGCTCTGTGATGATACTGAAAATAGACCCAGCAGATTAATTGCCTTGTATGGCAAAGCTCAAAGTGACATTGAAGATTTTAACAGGCATATTCTGCCTCATCTGACTCCTATCAAATTGCCCATCTGGTTGTTCAGGAAATTCAGACTCTTGGGAACTCCTTTCTGCAGCTGCTACTTGCACATCCACCTAACGAACAGGCAACAAAATGAAGTGCCCTGAGAAAGCAAAGCATCTCCAACTAATGAGCTTCTCTGCACAGCAAACTGCCTTCTAAATCATTTACATCACCTAGAAACCCTGCTTAGTTGTCCAATGTTCTCCTCCTCAGGTCACATTCCAAGTGAGAGACGTCTCTATTGGAAGGCAACATAAAATTATCAGAGTTTGGGCACAATGTAGAGCAGGGGACTCAAACTCAACTTACCTGGGGGCCGCTGGAAGTAGAGTCTGGGTGAGGCTGGGCCGTGTCAAGTATTCCACCACCGCGGTGGTGGTGGGCCGCTCATCCCGTGGCCGGCCCGGGCGCCGCTGGTGCTTTGAAGGCCACAGGGCCCCTCCCCCGTGCCCTGCCTGTCCCGGCAATTGGCCTGTGGGCCGCAAGTTTGAGACCCCTGGTGTAGAGGGTAGCACAGTGGGTGGAAGATGGACAGATCTGACCCACAAGGGCACCTTTCTCCTGCACAAGGACATTCCAGGAGACATTTGTGCTCAATGAACTGTGCTCCATATTGCTTGTGGGTTTTGCTCCTCACAGTAGTAAAACAGGATGCTTTGTTTCATGGCCCAGATGGAGAGCCTCTTAGCATCTCCTCTACCCTGCCACTTTCAAAAGAGATTTGGTGTTTGAGATGAAATTCATACCTGATATGTAGAATTCTGGCTTTTAATTCTGGCTTTGCTTTCAATGTACATGGGAGATGCTGCATTGTGTTGTGTTCTACATAATTCCTGGCCTACTCTGAATATGGTTGCAGTGATTATATGAACCAGTAGGAACTGGAAAAATGCAACAATATGCCATTTTTCCCTTGAAGCCTGAAAGACTCAAATGGAAGTGGGTGAGCACATTTAATGTTGGAGAACATCTTAGGAAATGCTGTGTTTCAAGTATTCTCCCTTCCCTGCCAGCTACACAGCCACATCTGTTTTTGAACTCTTAAAATGGAGAATTGTTCCCTTGACATGGATACTCAATTCTACTGTGACAGCTTAATGCTCCACAGTTAAGGTGCTAAACTTGATACACTTCCATACGGGCCTCTTGTTTTGCTTGGTCTGCTGTTTGAGGGAGAGGTGCCATCCAGGCTTTCTATCAGTAGATCTTAGGGTACCCTTGTAAGGCTGTAATGCATGGTTTTGGGGGTGGGGGGGGGAGAGGAAGAAGACTCAGAAAAAATCCAAAACTTTTTCTGGAAATGTTTCCACCATCCTAAATCAATGGAGATCTGACTTAGCTTGCCTGACATTTTATTAGAAAAGAAAATGAAAGAAGTACACTATAGTGATTTTACATGCTTCATAAACATCAATAAGCTAAAGGAACCGAACTAAAATATTTGATTAGGAATGATTTCAGTAAAATGAACTTAACGTGGTTTAAATGGTATGTTCAGACAAATTCAAAGTATTACTTGGAAACTATTTTTATGGGAATACTTGTAAATATTTCAAGACATGGAGGTGATATATGCTTTCCTTACATTATTGAGTTTTTAAGGGAAAAAGCAATAAAACATTGAAAACATACTGTTTTATGTATGCTTGAGGAGCTGTTCATATGTCTTTCTAGGGATAGTCATCTGAACAAAGTGAATTATAACTTTAGCTTTATTCTTGACTAGTGTTCTCTCCATTTTACTTGTCCAATTTGACTTATTTTGTGTTCATTTGGTTATATTACTATTTATCAAGCCATGATTTTTTTAAAAGAAGGGAGTGGAGGGGGATTTTCAGAAATGTGAAACAGTGCAAAAAGTTCAGCAGCAAAGCTCCCAGACATCCCTATTGGTCTTCCCAGTTAAATAAGCCTTGGGGTGGGTTAAGGGAGGGGAGCTGACTACTATTTGCAGCCTCCCTCTATCCGGCCTTCTAGAAACCTGGCTTCATTTGATGTTAAGAGCCGAGTTGACTAGCTTTAGTGAAGGTCCCAAAGACTTACTTTGTTCCTCTGTTTCCAGCCTATGCTTTATTGGACTGTTCTGGCTCTTCAGTTACAACCTGTCTATTGATTTTAAATTATGTTTAGGCTGCCTGTAACAGTAAAACCTTACACTGTGTTTTAGATTTTAACACTGCCTGGGTGAAAAGTTTTATTAACTGGAGTTTATGGATGGATGGATGGATAACACTGTGAACATTGAGTGTATGGGGCTTTATTGTATAAGACTAGCTTTTTACGGGAAAATAAGTATTACACCATACACTGCCCATGATGGTTGTGGGGAGCCGGGAGTAGTGGAATCTTTTCTGTCTCAAGATGCATCGCGCTGCGCCTTGGAAGGTCTCTTGCCCCGAAAGGCGGCCTAGAAGGGTTTGAAATCAAAGCTTCCGCTCCTATTGCAGCTCTTCACGATGCTCCTCATTATGTTGGCCGAGCGACGCGCATTTACAAGCGGGGACGCCGTTCTCCCAGCCTGCAGGGCCGACCAGCCTTCAGACCCTTCTCAGCAGAGCGAGGTACTGCCTGCACGAAGCCCGCGACTCACCCGGGGCGGCCAGCCCTCCGCGCGGTCCTCCCCGCTCGCCCGCCCTCCAGAGCGCTTCTCCTCCACGCCAGCCTTCCTCGCCTTACAAGGCTGCGCGCGAGACTCCCCCTTCTCTCCGGACGGCAGGGGGCGGAGCTCCCTGCGCTGGGATTTTGGGACCTGCCGGGCCCCTCCCCCTCCGAGGCGAGCGCGGCAGGCGCCAGGGCCGGGAGGGGAGCCGGCGCGCAGTCCCCGGGCCGAGCCTCTGCTTCGCCGCGTGCCCAGCAGCAGCGGGAGAAAGGCCGCGCCGGCAGCTTGCATGCACGCTCGCGCCGCAGCGGGCACGGCAGGTTCGTAGCGGCGCGGCGGGGCTCGCGGGGGCGGAACCCGGTCCCGACTGTCGACGGCTTGCCGTGGCTGCCAATAAGCCCCGCCGCCCGGCCCAGGCAAAGGCGGCGGGCGGGCGGGCTCCGCTGTGCGAGGCGGGGAGGGGCCGCCGTGCCTGCCCCGTTTCCGAGCGGGGAAGGTTGCGCTCCGGTCCCTCTCCTTCCACGCCGCCGTCCTCCCCTTCCCCGCTCTGGATCCGCTCCTTGCGACGGGAAGAGCGCGAGGGACGGTGCGACATCAAACTTCCCGGCAAGTCCGGCTAGGCAGGGTGGCACCCTGTTGGCTGTCCGCGGAAAGGCCGTGACCGCCGCCGCCGGGCGCCCGCCGCCCCACCCCGCCTCGCCTGACAGCGCGCGAGAGACTTTGCCCAGGGCTTCGCTTGCTCCGCGCCCGCTCGCGCCCTCCGTCCCCCGCTCTCCTTGCTCTCTTAGGGTTTTGTTCGCCGTGTCCATAACAGCCTCTTTGGAATGATACCGTCGCCGAGGCAGGCAGTGCAAAAATAAATAAATGTGAAAAGCGCCTTGCATTTAGCAGCTGTGGATCTGGGGGTGCGTAACGATGGGGTCCTTAGTGCTCCGCTTCTGGGGAAGGGGCCGGGCTTCCAGCATGGAAGTTTTCTTCACACGGCATTGCCAAATGCCATCAGACCCATTCTCCCCCTCCCCTGCGCTTTCCCACAGCTTCAAACAATAGTCAATATCACGTTTGTTCTCTGCTGGAATCTGGTTTGTTCTCCCTAAGTTTGAGAAGAAAGGCAAAGACAGTTTCCTTTTTTCCTGATCTCATGCTAGGATCACAAAAGGTCGATCTGTTTTCCTGCTAACAAGGAGCTGCAGAGCAGGGCAAAAACCTGATTTACCCCCTACCTTCCTCACTGTACCTGCCTATTGTCTACTGATGCTGGTTATATCCTCTGTCATACAGTATGTGCTTTCTGTGCAATTCGTGGTTTGTTTCCATGCAATGCAACACTAATTTTGGCCCACAGCTGTAGGGAGGGACAGATGTAAGTTGCCAGTTCTTCAGCTGGCCTCTGTGACTCTGCCTGGAACAGCCACTAGACACGTAAATAGGATCAGGGGTTGAACTTTAATGCCATGCTGCAAAAAGCTTCTGCTAATTTTGCACTTCAGGTGATTATTGAAGGTGCAAGAGCATGACAAACCACTTTGCTAGTCAGTTGGCAGCCCAAGGTGGATGAATGAACAGTTGTGGAGCAGGTGGAGAAGCATTTTGTTCCCATTCCTGTCTCCAGTGCTGAGTAGCATCAAGAGTTAGATCTGGTAGTCCTATCTAATCTTTGCTTTCCTTTCTCTTAGCTTCTTCTCTGGTCTCCAAACTGGAAAATTCCACCCCCATTCCAAGTTTCCTTTGACTGCTTTCCCACCTGTTTATGGAAGGAACAAGCTGGCATTGTGTACTAATTATTTTTTCTGCTTTTTCCTGTCTCCCAACTCCTTATTCTGACTACTACAGCTTCTACTGGGGAGGAAGGATCAGTGAGAAAACTCTCTCCTACGCCAGGAACTTTACTCCCAGTGCTTCAAGAATCAACAGTGATGGCTGTTTTGGAAGGTTTTGTTGGACTGCCAAATTATTGGGACTAAAGACCTTTGGATTACTCACAATCCTCCTCCTAACCCACACAGCTCACTAAGAATTGTACCCCACACTCCTTTTTGCTGTGATTGGTAGTGGTGACTGGGAAGATGGCATCCAGCCTCACGAGTACCGGAGTGATATGGGCATTTTTTTCCTTCCTCTGTGCCGGAGTCTCCTGTGTGGGCTTCTTCATGCCTTACTGGCTGCTGGGATCCCAGCTGGAGAAATCAGTGTCCTTTGGCACTTTCCGGAGATGTTCCTATCCAGTGCTGGACGAGAGCCGCCAGATCACGGTGATGGTGGAGCAGTGCGGACGCTATGCATCATTCCAGGCCATCCCGAGCGTGGAATGGCGGATCTGCACAGTGGTGACAGGGCTGGGCTGTGGTCTTCTTCTCCTGGTGGCCCTCACGGCACTCATGGGCTGCTGCGTATCTGAGCTGATCTCCAGGACTGTGGGGAGAGTGGCTGGAGGCCTTCAGTTCTTGGGCGGTGAGTAACAGCAGACTCCAACCTTAGAAGCAGCCTCCTGCCAGTGTGGATACAGGGCTTACGTTGTGCTCATGACACAGGATGAATTATTTCTGTGGATCAGATGCCTTCTTGTGTTACATTTTCTGCTTGGTCCAGCAGTTTTTCCCAGCTGGGTGCCCTGCAGGTGTTTTGGACTTCAGCTCACATCTGCGTCAGCCAGCATGACTGATGGTTGGGAATTCTGGGACTTGTATTTCAAAACATCTGGAGGGTGCCAGCTTGAGGAAGGCTGATTACAGTGTGTTAGGGAAATGCTTGTGGAGAAAAATAGCCATGAAACCTTACTTGATATGTCTCAATTTCTGAACTTTTGCATGAGTAAGAGGCAGCCAGAAGTCAGTCTTCTTTTTGTTTGCTGGCCAGGGTGGAAAAGAAGTTGTTTTGGAGTTCTAATTGAAAGCTCTTGGCAGGTTCCCCCTCCCCATTACATACAGGAAAAGGCTATTTGAGTAGCCCTCTAGTTCTAATATTTACTTGGAAGGAATCCACATGCACACAGTTCCATCAATGTTTACAAGGGAGCAAAGCCTGTGTATTCATTAGGATTTACTCCCAAGTAAGTGTGCAGGATTGAAGTCTTACCTACTAGCAAATATATTTTAGATTGGAACCCGTATCATATTCTGCCAGGTAATCCTGCGTGACTTGGTTCCCCCTACCCCAAGTGACACAAAAGTCTGGATTTTAAGCCTTTTGGCTCTCTTACTAGTTTTACTGTTTCTGACCATATGGTTTTAATTTTAGCTTTTCCATTTTTCTGGCAGCTCTCCCTGCTTTCTTGTGCTTTTTTTCCCACAACAGCTTCTAATTCCAACCTCTGCAGGATTCAGTGAAAACTTGCATCTCCTCTGTTCTTATGAGGTAGTCTTGCAGTAAGCATTGGAGGTAAAACTGTGATCTTACCAAATTGAAGGAGACATGGGGGTTGGTTTGCTGGTTGGTTGCACTGTCTCCTGCTTTCTCCATTTCTTAAAGCAAAATAGGCAGGATCCTGGGTCCGCAACCTGGACCCCAGATCAGGAATCAATCAGGCTTGTAAACAGTGTGCTTGTAAACATAGATATGTGTTCTAGACAGCTGCCCCTGCTGATTCAAGTGTGTAAAGAGCAGTGTCATGAGAGGTATAGTTTTTCCACTACTATAGTTCCTTGAATTCTGCCCCTACCCCTTACAGATACATTGATAGATAAAATTAGTTACTAATCAAGTTAGGATACATGTAAAATCAGTTGTTCTGGAATGGATACAATGCTAGCTGCTTAGAGTCCCAATTTCTGGGAATAGGCGGGATATATGAATAAATATAATAGTTAAATTTAAATTCAAGGTTGTTATTAACTTTTTTTTCCAGCCTACTATCTCTAGGATGTGCATATATATGTGCACACAGGCTTTCAGGCATGCTAAAATAAGTGTGTTCATTTGCAGTGCTGTCGTGGGGCAATGTTGAATTCTGCGGCTGCGCCTTTGTTCATTCTGTTGTGCCCACAATCGAAAGCTAGTGCTTCCTAAAGCAGCACCAGAAATGAGCTGGAATGCTCATTTCCAGAATGGAAACACCACCAACCTGCCCTGTTCTAGAAACAAGCATGTTGGCGTGTTTCCGGTTTTTTTAGGAACTGTTAGTTTTCCATTGTGGTAGCTGTGAGCACTCCTGATGTGCAGGTAAGCATTGTATACTATCCATTATTGTTCTTAAAGTACTTTAATGTAAGAAAGGCATACAAGCCTTGACTTAGTTTCAAAAGCCCTCTGTCTGCCATCTTCATGTGGGACCTCTGGCAGAAGCAGCCTTTCCCTAGCAGCCTCCTGAGCAGAGAGAGAGAGGGAGAATGAGGAGATAACTGAAAGAGAAAGGGAAAAATGTTTACCCACCCACATGTGCTTTCTGCATTGCTCATTATCTCCATGCAGCCCCTGACAGATTACCCATAAAGGAATGGGGCCCTCAACAGAAAAAGGTCACCCACCCCTGCTGTAAGGGATGTATACGCTCTTAGTCATCATGTCTGAAAAAATTTACAAGTGTTCCAATAAAAATGGCCAAGCAAAGCTTTGACTTTTTTGAATCTACAATGAACACACTTATTGCACTTTTTCCCAATAAAAATAGTTTAGTCCAATTCCTTTTGGCTATTTTTCAGATATTTATTCACATACATTTTAGCTGTGCTTACTCACTTAAGTCTAATAAACATGTCAGATCAGAGCTCGATCTCTTTGGGGCTTTGGAAAACTTTCTGATTCAAAATTTTCCAGGAAACAAAAGTCAGTCACACATGCACAACCCAGTGTCTGTTTCTCCGGTGAAATTAGCTGCTCTTGGTATGGGTTTCTCCTCAGTTGTGAAACAAACTTCACATTCTGAGTGTTAATCATGTCAAAATTGTCAGTGTGTCATTTGCACACTATTTTTTCTAGGTTGCCTTCATGTTCAGGTGCACCAATTTTCAACTTTTTCATTAAATATCCTAATAATTATATTTGTCTTTCAAGCCATACCAAGTGTCTTACTGTTATTACACCTAGTACTGCAATCAAGCTGTTTTACGAGTGTAAAACACACTGAGCCCTAATGTATTTGTAGGAGGTGCATGTGTGTAATTTATAGTGCCAATTAAGCAGTTCTGAGGGCAACCAGGAACAGCTCTCTTAAGGCACCGAAATTCAAAGAATGCTATTGGCTTGAGTTCTTTATGTACTGCTGAGAAATTCCTATCACTATATTTTATTTTGTAATCAGTTTTGTGTCACCGGTATTGACAAATCTGCAGTCTTGTTTAGTTCAAAAGCTGAGAAGTACCTTCTATTTGAATTCAAGAGATGTACCTTAGATATTCTGGCTAGGTTATGGGGGCCTGCCCTTGCGACACCCCACTCTCCCACATTACCCTGTTTCTTGTAGGGAAGTAGATAAGCAGCCCTACTCAAAGACCCAGCCACTGTCAAGGTGAGCCGTGCTCCTATGCAATCTAGTCAGTATCCTAGCCTCCCTCATCAGTACACTAACAATGTTAGAAGGATAACAAATGCAGCAACTTGGACTCTGCTAGCCACACGGAGACCATCCCCTCCAATCGTGGCATTGGCTGCAGACGCCATCAAGGAATGAAAAGCACTAATCAATAAGCACTGTTCTGAGGTCAACAACCTTTCTGATGATGCTGGACCCCTCCCCCCCCGCCCCATCCATTAGGAAAGGGTGGTCAGGGAGTAGTGAACAAAGCCCCTCCCTCCCTTCATTTTCCAGCTCCAGACAGTAGCTTAGTGGAGGAAAACCATGTGGAAAAATCTGGGAGAAATCTGGGAGTTCAACTCATGTGTCATGCATATAGCTTCAAACCATTAAAATGCATGGGGGAGAGGCACTGGGAAGGGGAAAGAAAGGAGGTCTCTTTTAACATTGTATGGAAGAGCTACAGAAGAGGAATGATGTTTGACACCTACCTAGAAGAAAAGACAATGAAATTAGAATAGAAAAATAGGTTTCTTTTCTTCCTTTTCATTTCCACAGATGTTCATATATAATGGATGCTTCGAACAGTTTTGCGACAATCATCATTTTAAGCTCCTTTTTTGTATTTAAGCCAGGGCTTTTTGATTTAGTCTGGATTTAGCTTAATCCTTATTAATAACTTCCGAACTGCCAGCCAGTTTCCAGGAGAGCAGCAGTGTTGTTCAGTTGTAGAAAAAAAGAAAAAAAAACCCAGAGTCTTATAGTACTAACAACATCTTTATTGTTATAGAATTTTATTGTATTGGAATTTATTTGGAGAGTTGCCTTGGGAGGGCTTTTGCAGCCTAGGAATACTATAAAGAAACAGATATTCTGCCATGAGGTTTCACAGGCAAGAACCTTGTTCACTGATTGTACATGGGAACCAGCATTCACAGAATGGATAGACACATGCAGATAAAACCTTGTGCATTGTGAAAAAGTGCTCTGGTGGTGCTTTCTTCCAGTGGGAAAACAAAATGGCACTCATTCCTACGGTCCATTTTGCAAAGCCAGCATCTCAAGGAGTGGCTTGGCTGTGTTGCCACTTTCAGGGCTTGCACACATGTGGTGGCGGCGGTGTGCTGCCTGCATAGGGAAAATGATGCAGTGGTTTGCTCCCATGGCAACCAACCCCTTGTGGGGCATTGCTTTCATTGCCCTCACTAGCTGTCTGCATTGACCCTGAGACCAGAGAGATGAACTTGAAGATAGCTGAAGCCAGGAGGAAGATGGGACTTGAGAGAGAATGGAAATTATTGCAATTTCCTGCAGAGACAGCTTCATTGCTAAGTTTGGAAGGCATCAGGCAGCAACCAACTTCTCCTGTTTTTTGTATTAATATGATTTGCATCTTTCCAGACCATGCACTGAAAAAATATTAAATATGGTTTCCTTTGTTATATTCCCCAGTGAACTTTTCCATTCCTGTTTTCCACTCCATTCCAGTTTCCATTCCTCTCTAGACTGACTTCTCCTTCTCTCCCTGCTTCTGTATAAACCAGTCCTTCCCAGTTTCTTGTTACCTATGGTGCCTGCTTCACTCCAAATGTTCCTCCCATTCTGCCGCTTTCCCCAGATAATTCCCAACTCCTTCCCCACCTTATTGTGAACTGCCCTTCTGCTCTCCAAATATGATTCTCACCTTATGGGCTTCTGAATGGCTTTTCAGAGCTCTAGTACAAGGGGACCTTCAGATATCTTAATACTTTAAAGATACATCTGAGTGAGTGAGGTTCAAGAGGCATTGCAAATGTGAATTGTGTGTGCGTGTGTGTTTGCATGTGAATATGATGGCGATGGTACAATCGTGTGTGTGATGTACTTTTACATTATGTTTTGCTGTGTGTGCATTTTAAAGTTTTAAACTTTGTGGATCATGCAGAGAGCTTCAGCTGTTGGGCAGTATAGAAAGGTAAGATGAAAAATAAATGTTATCCCACCTGAAACTCCTAAGTCTGAA